GGTCTGCATTTAGTTAGACAACAAGTGAGTCAAGTGACAGTCTGTCCATGTGACTGTGCCACAGCTGTTGCAACAAAATAAACACTCCTGATGACGATTCGCCAGGAATCAGTTTCAAGTTGACGTCTCTGACTTTTGGGTTTAAAAGGAAACATGAGTTCTCTTGCCTCATGACTATGACAACATCAAAAACCCGCCGACTCACGCATCCAAACACAAACAGAATATTGCTCTTTAGCATTGAATTTTAGGCCACTTTGAATGATTTACACTCAAGACAAACTTGCATTAAGTCAAGAATGACTGAATACACCTTAACAATAGAGGTTAGTGCCAACTTTGACGAGTTTAAAACAGACGTCTTCGCATATCATCTCTCCTGTAGCCTCCTTCAGGGCTGAGAGGGAAAGAGGATGTGGTTTCAGAGTTTTTTTCTTGTCAAGTCACACTCGGTTCTCTGTCAGACATTTTTTTTATGTGAACGTCCCTGCGGTGACAAAGACTTCTGCAAAGCTGCTGAAGCCTGTTCATGCCTTAGAAATAATAAAATGACCTTCACTCATGCAGATCCCCACTGACTTCTAGCACTAACTAAATATCTGCAAATGCTGCTTCTAGTGTGTCGAATTCGTTATTGCCAAATATAATCTTCTATTACTGCACAGTGCAGACACACACACACACACATACACACACACACACACACACACACACACACACACACACACACACATTACTACACACTTACAGCTACTTCTAACACCTACTCTAGCTATAATACAGCTGTTATACAACTTCTTCTATTTTTCATTAGTACTGTTACCACTAACACTATTATTATCATCACTAATTATATCTAATTATATTACATATCTAAGAGGGTTTATTTGTCCTCATAAATTTTGTTGTATAATGTGGTAAACACAGGTTTATACACAGATGACTCTGCTCTTTAACTGGGTGTTGATATTCTTCACAAGTTGGGTTTAAAATAATTTTTGTGACAACTTTACACCAGAAATAAGGACGGGTTAGGAAACTTTAAGGAACTCAAATAAGGGTCAGTAAAAAGGGAAATCAGTGACCCAGCAAAGTGAAAGGTTCCCAAATCAACATTTTTGTGTATTTACAGTAATGTTTCTTTCAAATTTGTACACAACACTACAACAATAACTTGGTAACAAATCTAAAAAGTTATTATTAACTAATGACGAGTTTTGAGTGGGTGAATCAGGGCACATATGCCAAATGTCACCATTGTAACCGTCTCTAATTTTTAAAAAAAAAAGTTGAAAATGCTGTTTGTTTGCTTCCATATATTGTCTATTCTGAAGTATGTTTCATAAAAAAATCCCCAACCCTACACAAAAACAATAGTGTAACAGATACATGTCTTTCCAAAAAGACTGTTCCACTTTAGCTGTCTTGTTGAAAGTTTCTTTAGAAGTCTTAAGCAATGCTGTTTTTTTTAGGATGGCGTCAGATATCTGAGTCTAAAATTAATGACAATTCCAATGACTCTGCTTAGCTGGTAATGGTCAGTCATACAGTGCTTGAGTTGGGATAAAATTCACAGTAAATATGTAAATGCATAGAAATATAACTGCTGACCCTTAGAACAATTTAGCAAACAAGCTTCCCTCTTATGAAATGCAGAAGTGTCTACAGTGTGTGCTGATTTTCTAACACTGGAAAATAACTCAAAATGTTAGAAATATTCCAGTGTTAGAAAATCAGCACTGCTCGGTGTTAGCCATTGTTAATCTTCTAAACTGACTAGGTTACTTTTAAACATATAACACTGTCAAAAGTGTTAATTTAACACTCACCAGTGTTGTATTTAACACTCAGAGGTGTGGACCCATATAGACACTCTCTAGTGTTAATTTAACAGTGGAGATTTTGCTGTGTAGTAGCTGCCATCTGAGCATCCCTCACTGGCTCGCTTGTTGCTGTATATATCTGTGCCTTTGGTTATCTTACTTCTATAGCTGTTACAGGTAGGAGTCGCGTGCATGTTGCTGCTGCCTCAGTTTGAATTGGCCACATTTTTGTTGATTGGTGCTACTTGTGCTTTTGTAGAGATCACCTGCGCATTATTTCCTCTGAAGCCATCAATCGATTGCTGGTATGTTTTTATTTTGTGCCGTACATTTAATCATTTCACTTGGTAGTAAACAGGTGTTTTTATATATTTTGCTTTATCTTTTTGTTTTTGCCTGCCTGCTGTATATGGAAGCCTGTTAGTGTGCATTTATTGTATTAAATTGTTTAATCAGAGCAGATAACAGGTCTGTGTGTGTGTGTGTGTGTGTGGTGTGTGTGTGTGTGGTGTGTGTGTGTGTGTGTGTGTGTGTGTGTGTGAAGCTGAGCTGCAGGTATGAGTTGATTTTCTTTTCTTGTCCTCACCTGGCATCACATTCACCTGCTGGTAACCCACAGCTCTGAATTTACAGTAAATGTACAATTGAATCCTTATTTTACTTTGATATGTCTTGAATGGCTGTCATTACATTGTTGTTTTGCACTGAAGCATGTTTCTGTCCCAAGTAAAGCAGATTTAAGAGCTGATAATTAGCATAGTTTCAAACTAAATATTCTCTAGGTGAAATTTGTTGCCGGCTTTTTCTCTTTCTTTGTAAAAGCTTTTGAGCTTTCTATTGCTGCTCTGCCATTGTGTTGTGTGTGTGTGACATCACTGGTTCCTTGCTCTCTTCCTCATTATTCTCCCACACAAAGAAATGATAAGAATCATGTGGTGTTTTTACACCACTTTCTCTTCGTCTTTATGTTCTTTATGTTACTTGCGGGTCCTTTTGTGTATCTACTGATGTTCCTTTTTTGACTGACTTGCCTCTCAGTTCCTAAACATTTTGAGATTGGCTAATTGTTCAAAAGGTTTCTATTCTGAACTCAATAAGTTCTTAAGGGGAAATTTATGAACTACCATCATAACTAAAAAAAAAGACTCAGCACAAATGTAGGCTGTGCTTAATGCACTTTATTCTTCAAAGACAAACGTGAATAAGGCTCAAAGTAAACTCTATGAACAACATGTGAATGTGATCCTGTAGGATTATGCTAGGAGAAAATATCTGGTATGTTTTGGTAATGTAGATAAATAAATGTGTGTTTTGCGTTTGCTTTTTGTTTTCTTTCTAAACCAACTGATATAAATGCATGATCATTGTCGTTATTCTGCGTGGTTTAAAGTACATATACAGTGATGATAAACTTGTGGCTGAAGCTTGCTGCAGAAACAGGAACTAGAGCTCTGAATGCTGCAAAAATTCAACCCCACAAACTGATGTGGCGCAGGTAACTTTAAACACTCCACTAGATATGAGGCCTTATTTATGAAAGTAATGAAGAAGCCACTCTAAAAAGAACATGCCAACAAGGGTTAAAGTGAAGATGCATTAAAACAAGCTACAAAACATCTAAATTAATGCCCTTTGGACATATAAGACAAAAGTGTCTATGTTCAGTGATAGTGCACAGCATTACACCTGGGGAAAACCAAACACACATGTCAGCACAAGAACCTCATGTCAACTGTTAGCACGATGGAAGGGTGATGATTTGGGATTGCTTTGCAGTCATGAGACCTGGGGACCTTACAGTCATTGAGTTGACCATGAACTCCTCTGCATGCCCATGCAAGTATTCTAGAGCCAAATACTGATGCTATCTATCTGACAGCTAAAGCTCAGCCGCAGCTCAGGCGTGCAGCAAATCTCCAACAGAACAGCTAAAAAAGAAAAGAATCAAGTTCAGCAATGGGCCAATCAAAGGTCAGACCTCAACCTGATTGAAATACTGTGGTGGGCCCTTCAGAGAGCCGCGTATAAACGAATGCCTCCAAGTCCCAATCAAAGGAACTTAGTAAAGAAGAGTGACCCAGAATTGAACGTGAGAGATCATTAAACTCAGTTTTTCTACACGCTGTTTCTGAATTTGGGCTTTGTTTGTGTGTTCTTGTTCATCTCAGGTTGTAATGGATTCATTTTAGGACATGATAAAGACTTTTTATCACTGGTGTAAGTCACACAAATCCAATGATTTCCAAATTCAGATTAACAAATATCATCATTCTTGATCTGCCATCTGGACCTGTTTTTGCCCCATCTTCTCTCATCCCTGCTCGTTTTGCTAACCTTTTTGGGATTTTTGGTCATTCAGGTTCAGTTATTGTTCAGTACCTTCACTTTCTTTTATTTCCCCCCCATTTTATGTTTCTGTGTAGTTTCTTCTTTGTTTTGCCATTTTGAGTTTGGTATTTTAGCTCATTTGTACTTCAGAGTTATTTCTCTTATTCTCATTCCTGGCTCTATAATTTGCAATCATGTTTTTCCTGATTTTGTCGGCTTCCTGCCTGCCTGTTTACAAGTTCAGTTACTTCCTGCTTTATTTTGTTTGGTGTTTTGTCTCTTGTCTTTGTATTTAGTTTCACACCCCTTCTCTTATTTTCTCAGTTAGTAAAACTACCCTCCCAGGTATCTCCTGTTTGCCCTCATCATCTTGTTTATTTATTCCTTCAGCTTTATTCAGTTTTTGTTGTGTTTTTCCTCATTACATTTGTGTGTGTCTCATTTCTGTATAGTTTTTGAATTCCTCATTCCTGGGGAACATTTTCATTGGAATTTAGCATTAAAGCTGCCTTTTAAATGTATTTCCTGTCTCCTGGGTCCTACATTTGGGTCCAAATCCTGCCTACCAGACATGACACGTGACCTGTTTGTACTGGTTGGAGCAGGATGGGGCCCAACATGGTCAGAATACATGGAAACAGGAAGCTGGCATTTTACTGAGAAGCAACAACTGAAATTGTTTTTACAGGTTGTCACTTGCTGTTGTTTTCAGAACGTGTGAGGAAAGCGCTGAATAGTTTCCTGCGAAATCTGACCAACAAACACTCACATGGCCTTGAGGAAAGAGGAACATTGTGAAACTCTTTTTTTAAATAATATCATCCAGATTTGTTTCTGTCCCTTGTTGTTCTCAAATGTTTAATAGGTTCATATTAAACATTACAAAGAAATACTTCAAACCACATTTTCTCTTTCAAACAAACAAATCACTGGTGTGAACTCAAGTTCTATTTGTGTTAAATAACTACACGAATGCCTAAACCAAAAATAAATGCTGTAATCAAACTGAAAATGATCGCAGTGTATTTTCACAGAACAAAAGAATAATGCCACAGGTATGTAGAAAGTTCTTTTACATATTCTTATACTAAAACAAACCTGTTATGCAATAATTTGCAAAGACCATATAATCTTAGATTTTAAATCAACAGCCCAAATGTTCAAACTGAGATTATTAATGTGGATGGATTAGTTATTTGTGAACAAAGTCTTTCTGGAGAACTTCAGTGTTTACCAGGGATGCTTTAAAAAAACACATTTAATTTTGTTACATGTTATTGTGACAGACTGGTGATCTGTCCAGCGTGTACCCCTCCTTTAGCCCTATGACAGCTGGTATAGACTCCTGCATACTTAAAATGGATAAGCAGAGGAAAATGGACGGCTCAGTAATTTTGACAGCTTCTCACAACATTATTTTTAAATTTGATGCTGCAACAAATTAAAAAAAATATGTCTTTCAAAAATCACATTTCTCACAGTCAACATGTGATATTTTGTCTTTGTCCTGGTTTCACTTCTGTTTGACATTTAATTGTAAAATGCAGCTTTCTGTTGTCATACTTCATCATCATGCTGACCTTTTAGGGAATGAGACTGTGTTTAAAATCTGTGCTTTCAAAATAGCATAAACAACAAAACAGCTGAAACAAAACAACAAAAACTGATAAACAGATACAAACTATAAGAGAACAAATAAATATTAAATGTTGGAGTTTCATATTTACAGGTTTTCACAGCAGCATTGAGTTATGGTGTTAAATCCTGAAGCACCTTAAAGCAGGTTTGGCTAAAGGTTGTCACATTCTTGGGTCCATCTCAGCTCAGAAGCAAAGCAGATTGTCTCTGACTAAAATTAATCTTGCAGCACTTTCATCAAGTTTGTGGAAAATTTTGATTCAGAACTTTTGGTCCAACAACTCAAACCAGAGAGGAAAAAATAAATCCTCCTACGAGCGGCGGAGCAGCAAGTCTTCAGTTATCAGACTGACCTCTGTCCAGCAGGTATCATCCACCTGTACAGGTGTGTCCATCAGCTTTGAGGTAGTGTGGAGCGAGGAAGCTGAATTTTGTAATAAACACACTCTTGAAGCGGAGCAGCAGAGGGAGTGGGGAGCTGGATCTCCTCGTACTGAAACACAACAGCAGCACTGAGTACAGGACAAAGTAGCACTGAAGGAGAACAATGAGCATGAGCTGCAGGGTCACCTGTACACTTTGAGTTACCTGTGGAGCCTCCAGCCTCTCACTGGTCCCAGCTGGAGGGAGGTTTGCCTGATACTTGCTGATTCTCCTCTTCAGACACAGCCATACACAACTCAGACCTGCCAACAGACCATCAGGGGAGTGACATCACCTTCACACTCACATCAGCACTCATCACATACAACACATTTCTCCACTGTGCAGAGAAACCTTTCAACATCTGGACAGCAGAAGCACAGCTGAAGCCTGCTGGCGCAGTGAGCAGTACGTTTGTGCTGTACTGTCTGTACAGCGTCGGCTTTCAGCCCCCATGGATTACATCTACGTACTTTGGTAATATGTGAGTAACATAAAGAATGTTGTGGGCCAACTTTAAAAATACTTATTTCCACAAATGTACAACTATAAAACTACCTCACATACTTGCAGCTTATGTGTAAAAGTTACAGTATGAACCTGCACTAAATGTTTTATAAGCTGGATGAATATAAACTACAGATCCACATAGTAAGAAGCGCTGCTGGAAGGAGAGGGTTACAAGATGAGTTGACATCTATTATAAAAATGGGAGGTTGGTTCAAAGCAAGCTTGACTAAAAATTACTGTGGCTGAGCTGGTTGCATTAAGTACTGCTGCATGAGTTAGTGGTAGCATTTCTGCATATCTACATATGCAACATGTTGCTGTGGAGGGGTGCTGGTATTAATAGAAGAGCAGACAGACCACAGAGATTTAGACAAAATGACTCACAGAGTACTAAAAAGAGCACAAAGTTCAGGATCACTGAGCTGACGAGGAAAGTCTGCCTCTGCAACACTCCACACTCAGGGTCAGGGGTTGGACAGATATCTGGAAGAAGAAAAGTTACACATATCGAATAAGAAATTATAGTGTTTCGTAAAACTATCAGACATTAACAATGTTTTCATGTCTGAGGCCCAGCTGACTACACTTTAACAAATAGTTCATCTAGTCGACCCAAGTTACTGTTTTATATTACAGGAACTTTCAAAAGCTGAAAAAAATTGCAGTAATAAAAAAAAACCCGTATCTGTTTTTGCTCAGGCTTTGGGCAACGCGATTCCCGTGTTGTGCCAAAGACATTTTGCACTGGTGTTTATTTATTATAATATTAGAAATATTATTGTTTATTATTTTAACCTTTGACCATCTATGAGTTGCAGTTTTGAGGGTGAGTGGTAATTGATTAGTGAGCGATTAGTCTGTTGTAACTTTAGAGACCAACACAATGGTGGAAAACAAATGTTTCCAAGATTAGGTGAGTTGACAGGTTGATTTAGCAGCTGTTAGGATGATGTCTTTTTATGTTCTCAGGCACCCAAGTCAGGGAAGTCTAAGTAGCTTTGAAAGAAAGCAACTGGACTTGAAAGAAACTTTTTAGATTAGAGAAACTTAAAGTAGTCCAGTCGCTTTCTTTCAAAGCTCCTTGGAGCCTTTTATATTTCAAATTGGCAACCTGTTGAGGATCATGTCGTATTTGAGCAGCTGTCTTTAGAAATGAATGATGTCATCTTTCAGGTAAAGCCTCAAATTTTGTTTAGACTGTTCTTCTATTGTACAGTAAAGAGGTCACACTTCAAAGAAATAAGGTTACCAGAGATGGGCAGTAACACGTTACTGTAATCCGATAACTTTTTTTTAAGTAACGAGTAAAGTAAGGGATTACTATTACAAAAAAGGTAATTAGATTACTGTTACTTTCCCATAAGCATGCTGCATTACTAAACCGTGATTCTCATGGCAGTGACGTAAGCGAGTGCGACCTTCGTGGCAACAGTGGATCATATATCGAGTGTGGAGAGAGTATGATCCTGCAGCGTTTAAAGCGTGGAAGTACTGACCTGACTTTGAATTTGATTCTGTCAAAAGTGACAAAACATTAGTGTCCTCTGTTCACTGCGTGGGAAGAAAACTTCTTTTTACAGTGAAAAAACCCTTAACTTCAGAGCAAGCTGCCACGGGAATGTGAAATTCACAAAACCTTCGACACACTGCGGCACACCTGCACCAGGGCAAACCTCCGCCTGCCCCACTCCTGCTTTACAGGGGAAAACAGAGCAACAGGACCGTTGAGTCTTTGATTTTATTTATTTTCTGCTGTGTTTTATGTGCATCTATTTGAAAGACTGAGTGTAAACAAAAAATATATATTTTATTTTATGAGCTGGAATGTGCAGAAAATAAGTTTAAATGTTAAACAAATTTCCTCCAGTCAGAGAATGTTGCATATAATTTAATTTTTGCTTGATGCATAAAGTTAAAAGATTAAAACTAATAAAAACAAGTTTTAAAAGGAGACTTTTTCATTTGATTACAGTTTGTATGGGCTTAAAGATCTATCACTTTATCACCTATTCAGGTTGTAAATCATGTTTTTAAAAAGTAACTAAGTAACTGATTACTTTTGCAAATAAGTAATCAGTAAATTAGCAGGATTACTCTTGGGGGGGGGAAATGATCAGTAATTAGTTACTGATTACTTTTTTCAAGTAACTTGACCAACACTGGATATTACTGAAGATTTACTTTACCTCTAAATAGGACACTGTTACAATAATGACTATTTGCAGAGAACATTTAAAACACACAGTCACAAATTTCTTTACTGATTTGATAAAAACAAGCAAAATATAAGTTTACATTTCCACACAGACAAACATGCAGTCTTACATTCAGTCATCATGTTGACTAAATGAACTATAGTCAAAATAACTGGCTAAAGATTAAGGAAAAGCTAACCTACAAAAGTTTTCAGATAATTCAAAGCAATCATTAAACTGACCAAATAAGAAAACTACTTTCATGCCATGGTCATCTCTGGATATGAAAAAGTTCCACTTCCAGTTCCAAGACACTCGCAAAATGATCAGAGGGACCAACTACTGGAATGAAGTCTTGGCAGATCTGCTATATTGCCACATACCTGATCATGTAGGGAAATATATATGCTCCAAATAGAGTTGGATGTCTCGAGACCACTTTTACGTGGTCTTGGTCTCGTCTTGGTCTCGACGTACTTTTGTCTTGGTCTTGTCTTGGTCTCGACGTACTTTGGTCTCGGTCTTGTCTTGGTCTCGCTGTCTGGGTCTTGTTGTCTCAGGTCAACATAGTGGTCGGGAGATTTGGAGTCAACAGTATCCATGACACACAGCGTAACGTTCGATAATGTATCATTCGCAAAAGCTTTAGCTCTGAGAGCCGCGCTTAGAGAGTGCTTTGTAGTGAACCAGAATAGTCGACTCCCATTGAGCGAGAGCCGGCTCCTCAATTAATTTCCTTTCGCTGCTCAGCTGTCACACAGCGACACACAGTGGCTCAGCCATGCTCAAATCCCTCCACATTGTGGCATTTTATTATTTCGCCTTTCGCGCCCTTCAAACACAATTAAATGCAACCCATTAGATTGAGCAGTATGCCCGGTCAGTAAGTTACAGAAATGTCAGCGACTTCGTCTGTCATAAAGTTTGCGTTCATAGAACACAGTTTTTGGTAAATGCAAAAAAGAAGCATTCGGCAAAATGCAGGTTTTGCAAAGTCTCCTTGACCGAGACAGCCGGGACTACCTCAACCTTCACCAGGCACCTGGAGCGCAAACACCCTCAAAGGTAAGCTAGCCAGCAGCCATCTATCCATCTTCAAACTCTTCTAACTACCTTTCCAACCTCAGATGACCAGGTCATGTTTATGTAATATTGTTATTGTGTGGATGCCCTCAATGGGCATCCACACTATTGAGTTCCTGTTTCTCTTTATTCTTTATTATTCCGGGTGTTTCCGTACACTTTTTGCCGTGGATCTACTTCCACAATTTTTGTGCTATTTTCACCGTTCAAACTCTATACTGTTCTGCTCTTTCTGCTAATGCCGGCTATGACTTTTGGTGTTTATTACTTTCTTGTCTTTGAAACTTAACTACTGCCTCATACTTTCACCTAGAAACTCCATTCAAACTTTAAAATGTTCTCAAATGATTTGGCTATTCCTGTATGATTCAGCTTTTTCAGATCTTCTACCGTTTTAATCTTATCCCTCTTTGAGTTTTCAGTTGCAAAATTGTGATTTTTCAGAAAATACATGCGTTGCTATGGTTGCTATGCAATTAACTCAGAGGGGACAGTGAAACTGTTTGAATTTTCTCTTCATGTCCAAACAACTTCTTGCTACTCGCTCAATTTCCACTCAAGCCCCACAAATTATACATCAAAACGCAGGTATTTTTGCTGGCTTTCAGAAAATGTCTATCATTGTTGTGGGACTCATAGATATTTTGCAAATCTCCTCAGAGTAACACAAAGTCAGAAAACTCTCCATATAAACTCAATGGAGAGTTTGTTCAAAATCACCGCTGGATTTCTCTAATGAGAGGCATTTTCAAATTGTCATATCTCCTTAACGAAGCAAAGTTAAGACATGAGGCTTGTCCCCGTATATGTTCAGACACTCCTAACACTCACAATTCAAGAATTTCTTTCTCACCTATTACCGTTCTGAAATGAGTTGGACTTGTTTGAGGGTAGGAAATTTGTCCCTCGCTCAGATTTCATCAGATTTCAAACACTGGAAATGAGGCACTTTTTTCTCTCGTCATATCTTTTTGATGGATTTCCACAGAGCCCTGAAAATTTCCATAACTGTTCACCAAAGCCTGCTGTTTCTTACGGTGAAAGAATGATTTTGATGCTCCATATAGATTTAGAGTTACCAAAGGTTGTTTGAGCGCAAGTCAAGGCAGTTTTTGCTTCGCCTCTACTCAGTTACAGTGTATTACAAGTCATATATCTTTAATAATTTATGTTTTATCTCTGAATTATGAAGACCTGAAGATTCCCCCATCTCTTCTGAATAAAACGATGCCTGAATGACCGTTCTAGCCTCTACGGTTAGGAAATTATGGCCATTTGTTCGAGTGGAATCCTGAATGTCAGAAATACACTGAAGAAAACTCACACCTCTCTCTGTGTCTGTGTGTGTAAGGGCTGACTACAGCAGGTGCAGCTAATTTAACTGACCTACATATACCAAGCCCAGACTCTCCACAGCTCCTGTTCCCTTTACTGTCTGTGTATGTGTGTCTGTGTATCAATATTTCTCCTATGTTTAAGTATTACTCCTCAATCATAGTATTTCTGCAAAAACAAAGTACTTCTGCTACATCTCAGTACTTCTGCTAAATCATAGTATTTTTGCTAAATCATAGTATTTTTGCAGAATCATGGTATTTGTGCAAAATCATGGTTTTGAGGCCAAATCATAATATTTCTGTTATTTTATAATATATGTGCTGAATATATTATATGTGCCAAATCATAGTATTTATACCAAATCATAGTATTTATCCCAAATTATAGTATTTATGCCAAATTACAGTATTTCTGCTAAAAAGCAGAAATAGTCCTTTTTAGCAGGAATTTCTGCCAAAAGACAGTATTTATGTTAAAACATAGTATTTCTGCTAAATCAGAGTATTCCTGCCAAATCATAGTATTTGTACTGAAACATAGTACTTCTGCCCAATCATAGTATTTGTACTGAATGATAGTACTTGTGCCAAATCATAGTATTTGTTCCAAAGCATTGTATTTGTATGGAGTCATAGTATTCCTTCTAAATCATAGTATTTCAATTAAATCTCAGTAGTTTTGTTAAAATGCAGTATTATTGCCAAATCATAGTATTTGTACCCAATCATAGTATTTTTGCCAAATCGTGGTATTTGTGCCCAATTAATAATTCTGTTATGTTATAGTATTACTACTAAGTCGTAGAATATCTGTTATGTTATAGTGTATCTGCGAAATATAGTTTGTGTGCCAAATCATAGTATTTAT